AAACCCCAATCACACCCTAAACCCTAAACCCTAAACCCTAAACCCTAAACCCCAAAACCCCAAACCCCAATCAAACCCTAAACCCTAAACCCTAAACCCTAAACCCTAAACCCTAAACCCCCAAACCCCAATCAAACCCTTACTAGGAAGCTGGGGGCCTGGCCTGAAAGCAGGGCCTCCACCTCCCCGAGGCGTCTGGCGGCCTTCAGCGGCTCGGCGGCGCCCTGGACCTTTTCCAAGGTAGGTGCTTTTTTAGGGTCTAGGGTTTAGGGTTTAGGGTTTAGGGTTTAGGGCTTAGTCCAAAAACCTGCTGTTTTAGGGGTTAGGCCCTATAAGTAAGGTGTCATAACCTACTATTTTGTAGGGTGTGGGGATACAGGTAGGGTTTAGGGCTTTGGGGGGGGCTTTTTATGGGGTCTAGGGTTTTGGGTTTTGGGGTGCTTCTAGGTAGGCTTTTGTAGGGTTTAGGGCTTAGGGGGGGGCCTTTTATGGGGTCTCGGGTTTTGGGGTTTGGGGTGCTTCTAGGTGGGCTTTTTGTAGGGTTTAGGGCTCAGGGTGCTTTTTATGGTGTTTAGGGTGTTTTTTGTTGGGTTTTAGGGTTTTGGGTTTATGGTTCGGGGGGCTTTCTATTGGTTTTGGCATGATTATCCAAGGTTTGCTCGGTACAGGTCTTTAGCAGGGGACTTAATATGTAGGCTTTGGGGTTTAGCGTTTTGGGTCTACTTCAGCTCAAACTTAGTAAATAGGGTTAAGGTTGGGGCTATAAGACCCCTGCATAAGTGGGCTTATGCGAATTACAACCTTACTTATTATAACCTTTCCTACTAAGTCCCGTGAGCCTTTAAGGTCTCTTTTTTGCTGATTTTCATTTGGATAATGCTCCTTTCTTGGGTTTGCAGAATGCCGGGCTTGAGAAGGGATCCGTCAGGCTTACAAGGCTCTATGCAGGTGTTCTCGTCTGGCTTTAAGAGGCTGATCTAAGGTTTCGTGGGATTGCTTCAAGGATCTATCAGGTCCTAAGCGAGTTCTACATGGGCTGTGTTGAACGGTTCAGAATGGAGTTTAGAGTTTTAGGGTTTATGTTCCAGGGTTTAGAATTTGGGCTTCTGCGCGGGTTCTATGAAGGTACTAGAGGAGGAGTTGAACGTCAACGGTTCACAATACAGGGGCTTAGATACTTCAAAACCCTACACCCTAAACCCTTACCCCCTAAACCATGAACCCTTGACCCTACACCCCTAAACCCTAAACCCCTAACCCCTAAACCCTAGACCGTGCTATGGTTTCTGTAGGTGTCTCCCATGGAGCTGGGATTCTCTGGGTTTGGGTTTGGCACAAGGAGGCCGAAAGCCCTGTTCTGTTTAGGGATTTCATACTGGGGTTTGTTCAGGGGTTTAGGGGTTTACGGTTTAGGGGTTTACAGTTTAGGGGCTTAGGGTTTAGAGTTTAGGATATTGGCATCTTAAGAAGGGCTTTACACAATAGTTTCGAGCACCTAGCGCCAGTCACGGCGGTTCGGTGAACCACTTTGGCCATGAACATGCACGCAGTCACTCGCGCAGCGGGGCGGGTTGAACCCAACAGACAAATGGTCCTGTGTCCTCACAACCCTAGCTTCTGCCGAGTCTTTGTTGGTGAGCCACCCAATGAAATGTGCCAAGAACTGCATCATCAGGTACATCAACTCAACCCCTTCAGAGATTTGGGAGTTGGCGGTACTGTTTGAAGTTCGATGCCGCGTTCCTGAAAGGGCTTTTTAAGGGCTCAGACTTCAGAGGACACAATTCCCGGTTCGGCGTTTAGGCGGTGAGGATATACGGGCTCAGGGCTCATATGGGTTAATGATTTCAAAAACCGGTTCCCGAAGACGTGGCTGCAACCTCTCTTAATGAAGAGATATTCGGGTTTAGGGGTTTGGAGTTTATCGTTTAGGCTTTGGAGATGCAAACATCACATGTGTACCTTTCCGCTAAACCATAGCCTACTTACTACCAGAACTCTTGCCAAAAATCCAACCCCAAAAGCCATGATCAATTCTGGGATGTGCGGAGGCGAAGTAAATCCTAAACCCTCAGACCCCCCAAGCCCTAAAACCGAAACTTTAAACCCCTAAACCCTGAACCCCATGCAGCTGAGGTGCAGCGATGAAAGGAGTGTGCAGTTCTGGATGGGTGGAGCCATTTCCTCACTTCGGGAGTCACCGAGTTAGCGGCGTAGGATTTAGGGGTGTAGTTGTTAATGCTTATGGTTCCGGCTTATGGATTAGAGGGCACTGGGTTTGGATGGAACACGAAGGTCCGCTGTGGTCTCATCTTTCCGGCGAAACCCTGCAGCTTCAAGGGTTGTGCTTGGTTTGTTGCACAAGGCTGGAAGAGGTCTCCACAACAAAAAGATGTGCTTTGTGTTGTTGCCCCCACTTTCTCAAAAGGAAACAACCCAAGCAACAATCGTAAGCAAGATCGCACGACTGTATGCAGCTACTAGGACAGGGGAGGGGTATGAATTGCACAGTTCAGGGTCGAGGGCTTTACGGGCTTGGCATTGCAGAGTTTACATTTGAGGACAACTGATTGGTTTCGGGATGACGGTATCGAAAAGTGACATGGATGTTAGACCCCCCGACGTCGCCGGACAAGTTCAGTTTCCAGGCAGAAGCCCCGACATGATTCTCTTCATGCTCTTCAGGCAAGTATAAGGGATCATGGCAACAATCATCAGCAAACCAATGTTGCTGGGGCTTATTGTAAGCCCACAACCCTACAGCAACAACAAACATGCTGAAAACCCGGTTGAAACAACCCTAAGCCCCGAAAGCGACACAAACAGATGCCACACTACCCCTAAACCCTAAACCCAAAAACACAAATCCCTAAAACAAAAAACACTCTGCAAGCTCCAAAATTTTCAAACCCCACGGCTTCAAACACCTGTAGCCGAAAAACCTTACCTTATTCCGTTGAAAGGTAGGTTTCTTGGGCCACGAGCACTGCTAAGACATCCTAAACCCTAACCATATCCCATAACCCATAACCCCCTTGCACAACCTGTATACAATCCCAATAAGACCCAGCATGCCCCATATAATATATAATGCCCTTATGATATCACGCAAACACCCGACACAACCCTCGTAGAGCCTTGAAATTAACTTCGAACCAGCTTCTCTGGATCTCCCCGTTGAGGGACTTGACCTGGCTTGGGTTGAGGGTGTCGGGGTTTAAGGGGCTCGGTTTAGCTCCACTTCCCTGAGAGGGTAAGGAGGGTTTGAGACACCCGGTCTGCGAGGATTCAGAGGCTGGGTTTAAGGTTTGAGGCCTAGGGCTTTTAGGGTTTCGGGTCTAGAGTCTGGGGTTTAGGGTGTAGGGTGTGGGCTTTAAGGTCAAGGTTCAGGATTTAGAGACTTCCGTGCCGGCTCCTTTGCTTGAGCCAATGTTGCCCCTGTTGTCTAGGAAGGTCTTGCCGCCGGGCGTACAAGAAGTTCCTGGTAGGAATGGACGAAACCCCGGAGCACAGAATGCTCCAGCCCTTTCTCCACGCAATATGCAATGATAGCACCTGCCTCCACAAAAACCAGGTTGCTTTGGTCAGAAAGCCGGGGTACGGCTGCCTATAATCATCCACCTGCGCATGCCGAAAAGACCTTTTCCACGCGGCATGCACTGTGCATTACATCCCCGATCCCTGTGAAACGCCGTACATCATGTCGGAAGCGTCGCAAGACTGTGCTTTCTTGTTTTCCAGGTAGATTGATTGTAACATGGAGTTGAGCGCGCACTCATGTGCCACAGCAATGAACCAGTCGCATTCCGTGGAATCTGTTCTGACAGGAATAAAGTAGGAATAAAAGAAGCTAGTGCTGCAGTCTCGCTTCTTCGGACATTTGGCTTTGGTTTACCCTGTCTTCTAGCAGCTAGCAGGAGAGGAGCACCTCCAGCCCCGCCTCCTGTTCCACCTCTTGAGAGGCCTGCTGGTGCAGGACAATTTTGCGGATTTCGGGCCCCGGCTCCTCATGCTGGGCGTCCTCCTCCTTCTCCTTCTCCTACGTACAGCAACGCACAGTAGTAGCTTTGTATACAAGTCAACTCTCGGGTAACAGCGCTCACCGGCGCTATATTTGCAGATTCTGTCTTACAAACTCTTTGTCCTGCAGCTGCCAGAAGACTGGGACTAGCATTCGAGGCGGCTTAGCCCAATGCCACATTTACAAAGATGCCTTGCTGTGGCCCAATGTATCAAGACTGCGTGGGATCACAGTACAGTACTTTGCGGAAATGCCAGTGCTTGTACTGGTGCGTTCGGGCGTCGCACGAGGTGTGACCGCGCCCAGCCAGGCGTGCACTGTTCCAGAAAGGGGTGGGGGTCTCGGTACAGTACATGCCTTCTGGGTCAGGTCTTCCCGGCAAGCAAGCCAAAGATGTCTGTCTGTGTCTGTCCGTGTCTGTCTGTATCTGTCTGTCTCTGTCTGTCTCTGTCTGTCTCTGTCTGTCTCTGTCTGTCTCTGTCTGTCTCTGTCTGTCTCTGTCTGTCTCTGGCTGTTTCTGGCTGTCTCTGTCTGTGTCTGTCTGTCTCTGTCGGTCTCTGTCCGTCTCTGTCCATCTCCGTCTGTGTCTGGCTGTGTCTGTCTGTGTCTGTCCGTGTCTGTCTGTGCCTGTCCGTCCTGTCTGCGCCTGTCCGTGTCTGTCTGTGCCTGTGCCTGTGCCTCTGCCTCTGCCTGTGCTGATGCCTGTGCCTGTGCCTGTGCCTGTGCCTGTGCCTGTGCCTGTGCCTGTGCCTGTGCCTGTGCCTGTGCCTGTGCCTGTGCCTGTGCCTGTGCCTGTGCTGATGCCTGTGCCTGTGCCTGTGCCTGTGTCTGTGTTTGTGTGGGCTTGGGCCGCTGTGGGTGTGGGTGTGGGTGGGTGGGTGGGTGGGCGGG